CAGAACGAAATCGAGAATATAAATTCCCATTATATCATTCTGAAACTTAAACTATCAAAACACAAAATCAATCCTTGCACGAAGCTAGGATGGAACACACGAACTTGATCTCTGCAGACGAACTGCAAAAATCAACTTCGCTTGAAAAGGCACCATAACGCCCTTCGTAGTTCTCTGTAATTTAATTTCTTTTCGTTATTTCAGTATTTCGTGCAGACAATGCAACTACACATCGTCATTTGACAGAGTTCGTTGGTCTTGATATCGAAATGGCGTTTAATTATCATTATCATGAAGTCTTGTTTACGATTGGAGATTTATTCACACAAATATTCAAAGGATTAGAACAACGGTAAAATAAGAAATCAGCGTCAGACCGAATAGACTGGTATTTTTGATTTATTTAGATTTGCTGCTGAAATAGAAACAATCCGAATACAGTTTCCATGTAAACCGTTTGAATATATAGATCCGCCGTAAGCTAAATATTAATCATCTAAATTATCAGTTAAATATTATTTTTTCGGGTTGTTATAGTCTAAGATTAGAATATAAAGATGCTGTTATAATTTTACGTGAAAATGGTGTTGAAATGAGCGATGAAGATGATCTAACAACTTCAAATGAAAAATTTCTTGGAAAATTAGTGAAAGCAAAAGTAAAAATATGATAATCGAATCAAGTACTATCTAAGATGTTTTATTCTCCACAATTTTAGTATCATACAGATTTTTATATGTTAGACAAATATCCATTGTCTATTCGACCATTTTATACGATGCCGGATCCTGATAATCCAGTAAGCTCTTCTATAATCTATGTTATATATATATATATATATCATCCAATTTATTCTCTAGAAATATTCAAACAGTTATGATATGTTTATAAGAGGAGAAGAAATATTATCGGGAGCTCAGCGTATACACGGTTAGTTATTTTCTTTTCCGAATTGTTCAAGTTGAAACTAGAAGATAAACTTTTTGTTTAAGTATTTTAGATGCTCAGCTTTTAACTGAACGTGCTAAACATCACAAGATTGATTTAGAACAAATCCAATTTTATATTGATTCATTTCGCTATGGTTGTCCTCCACATGGTGGCGGTGGTATTGGTTTAGAACGAGTTTTAATGCTTTATCTTGGATTAGGTAATGTTCGAAAAACATCAATGTTTCCACGTGATCCAAACCGATTAACACCATAATATAAGATGGTGTAACACGAATAATCCTTGTTATATTGTTATTCAGCTTTTTCCCTACAGTTAGGAATAAGTTGGTACTAACAGAACTACTGGTTTTTTAATAAACTTTGTCGTGTTATAAATGTCTTTTATGCGCTCCCAGTTTCGTCTGATTGATAATATTTATACTTGAAATTATATAAAACTTATGGATGTACTAAGTTATATTAGATGCGTTTTCATGCTTCCAAAAAAACAGTTTAATTACAAAGGTCACAAGATATGATTCATCTCAAACGTATCTCATTTCTATGAATAAATTATAGAAAAATCAATTTTGTACGCGCGATTATGCGTATGATAGAGATCTTTTCTTTTTCTCTGATGATATATGGCGATGTCATTGATAATGGTAGAAACTCCCTCTACATACTTTTACTTGATTAAAACCAAAACCATTCATTTTATGTTGTATTTGAAATCTAAAATCCTTCGCATGTCAGCGTGCATGCCTGACATACGTATTCAATCCAATTAAATTCGGGTAGTTATAATAAAGCATAACTTGTCAAGAATTTATTTGTTTACTTTCAATTTTTTATTTTTTATCAATTTTATAAAATATTTTTCTTGCTGATTCCAGTAGTTCGTTATTCAGAGTTGTTATTTTTATTTACCAAAGTAGAAATATCCACCGTATAAATGCTTGTTATGTCACTTTCGTTTTCGTTTTCGTTTTCTCATTGTTTTTCTCCGTAATCGATAGATATGCACGTAGTAATCTGAAAAGATCTCCATCAGCATAATCAAGCGTACACAATAGATTTTCAATAAGTTTTTCATTGAAATGAGATACGTTTGAGATGAATCATATCTTGCATGACCTTTGAAATTGAACTGTTTTTTTTGGATCCAGGAAGGCACATCTAATATAACTTAACTTAGTACATCCATAAGTTTTATATAATTTCAAGTATAAATATTATCGATCAGACGAAACTGGAAGCGCATAAAAGACATTTATAACACGACAAAGTTTATTAAAAAACCAGTAGTTCTGTTAGTACCAACTTATTCCTAACTGTAGGGAAAAAGCTGAATAACAATATAACAAGGATTATTCGTGTTACACCATCTTATATTATGGTGTTAATCGGTTTGGATCACGTGGAAACATTGATGTTTTTCGAACATTACCTAATCCAAGATAAAGCATTAAAACTCGTTCTAAACCAATACCACCGCCACCATGTGGAGGACAACCATAGCGAAATGAATCAATATAAAATTGGATTTGTTCTAAATCAATCTTGTGATGTTTAGCACGTTCAGTTAAAAGCTGAGCATCTAAAATACTTAAACAAAAAGGAATGACTCAAAATAACGAAAAATAAATATGTGATCGAATATCTCCAGTCTCGCCTTTGACTTTCTCAAAATTAAACATCAAAAGTTGATTTGATTTTATGGGGGAAAAATGGTTTACAAAAACGACCTTCTTTAATATTTTTCTGAAAACATGCTTAACATTTTGGAACCTTTTGTCCGCTAGTGATTTTGTAACTCGGCACATATAGAAGCTGATCTGACGGTACCAGATCATGAAAGTGTTCCACTAAAAGTGGTGAAAATACCTACAAAAGGATTATTCTGCGGGGAAGTGGGATTTCTTTTCACAGGTCTAGAAGACCATCATGCCGTTGTTTTAAAATATTTTAAACGTGATATTCGTCATCAGGAGCCCGAGTTCTACTAGTCCTGTTACTCTTGAACAATCCAGACAAAGTCGATGTAAACGTGGTACACTTTCAAAAGAATCACTTTGCTGTAAGTTGGCAACAGGTGCGCTAATAATGCAGCACAAGTCAGAAAATGAAGAGGTAATTGTGTTAGAGCAACTTGCGTGATGGGCCGATGCACAATGATTTTGATTTGCGTTCTTCTTCATCAAAAATGCACACTACTCCATTTTCACATAAATTGTGCGTACAGAAAAACAAATTATAATTAAAACTGAAGAAATTAACAGAGTTACATTTTATTACATAGATACATCTGGTTATTATCATAAAAATACTCTGATTGATTGTCTTAGTGTTCCTGACAGAATAGTATATTTCAACTTAAACGAAAAGAGAAACATGCGGTAGATAAACGGTAAATAGCTTGTTCAAAGACTGTAGAATCAGTGGCTTTAGATGCATTATTGTTTTTCGTGTTTCTATAGTCAGTGTACATTGAACTAATCCATTTTTCCATCATAGAGATAATAGTTATTGCTTAATTAAACTGATAAAATGTCCATTCTTTATAACAATAAAAGCTCGTTCTGAATAGCTGAAATCAAAATATATGTAGTGACTGCACTATTAAAAATTTTTACGCCAAATAATCTGGGAATGTGTGAAATAGGTCAAAAACGTTATGTAACGAACACAAATTCATTAAACGTTTTATAAAGTGAAAATATGTAGCAGTAGTACATTATACAGCATTATATACTGCATTATTGTTACACATTTTCACTTTATAAAACGTTTAATGAGTTTTTGTTCGTTACATAACGTTTTTGACCTATTTTCATCCATTCCCACATTAATTAAAAATTTTTAACAGCGTATGAATGAAGCCTTTCAGAAATAAAGCTTCTTTTTCTTCATCTTCTTCAGAATGCTAGAGGACTAATAAATGATAAGACCAATGTGTGTGTTTTTAATGATCAGTCTTTTATGCCTTAGATTGAACTTAATCCTAAGCTCCAATTATCAAACTAGATGGTAGACCATACAATGTTCTTGTATCGTAAGTTACGGAAGATTAAGGATGACACATGGCGGTATATTAACAAATTTCATCACCTTTGTAACTCGTTTCTCTCGACAAATTACACTCACATTAAAAAAAGTTAATCTTCAACCGCAGTCATACGCATATATTTGGGTTTCAGCTACGAAGTGACTTACACTCTTGTTTTCGCGTTTGTAACAGGATCTTCTATTCGTGTGTCGTCAAAACCATATTTTGAACCATATTTGAACCATATTTTGAACCCAAAACCATATAGTCGACTGCACCACTTCTATATGGAGACAAAACCTTTTGTCCACAAGGAGCTGTACTTTCATTCTCAAACTCAACTAGTGTGTTGGATACATTCGTCTTCCAGTCATACTTAAAAAAATAAAAATTTTATTTCTCAAAAATAAAGCAGTTAGCTGTATCAACTGTACGATAGAAACGAATTATCTGGACTTGTACTTGAATCCGCCAAAAAACATTAGTGTGACAGACGTACATTCACACAGGCATTTTGCATACTGTGTGACGGACGTATATGCATGTCTAAAAGCATGATTCTCATTTGAAAACATTATTTTCGTGACCTATTCAGAATAGTTATTTGCATCAGTATCTATGCACTTTAAGAAGTGGATTCTAATGGCAGGAAGTTATAGGAGCTGCGCGTCTAAAGTGCCCTGTGCCAAAAAAGAGTAACATGTTTCAGGACCAGTTATATACTGGGCAAGTACTCGAACTAGTATGCAGGCACCGGCCATGGATACTACACTATAGGTACCAAGCATTTATCCAAGTACTTGGTATCTGTACGTGCACTAGGTTCCACTTATCGATCGTTGACCGAGAGTTGGTCGGGGTGAGTCAGATAGTGATTTATTAATACTCGCTTTGCAAAATTCTCAAATTCTTCTCTCACACCGGTAGAGAATAAAGATACTCACAGAAAAAGTTTTTATCATATGAAAATCGATTTTTCAGAAGTGTTTGTTTATTGAATTGCGAAGAGTATTCCATTGACCACGCTCATCGGCTTTTGCCCATTAGTGAAATAAGCTGTTATCCACCACTGTCCTCCATTTTCGAAAAATATAACGGAAGGCTTTACTTTGCAAAATATATCCTTATCTGTTGGACAGTTTGCTTCAGTTCAGAGAATATAAATGATTGATTTTTCCTCCGATATTTGGATCACCATAATCATTTACAAATAGACGATAAAAGACTGCATCGAGTGTATTTGGCCATGAAAAATACAGTGTGTATGTATGGATAACTCGAAGTAGGAATAATGTTGTTGCTGGTTCAATTGTGAAAAATATTCCATCAACAACTGTCATTGGGTTTTGTCCATTTTTGAAATATGCTGTTATATACGATTGTCCTCCATTCTCAGAAAATGCAACGAGTGATTTGACCTTACAAAATGCATCTTTATCTGTCGGACAGTTTGCTTCTGTTGAAGAATATTAACGATTGATTTTTCTTCTTACATTTGAAATACCATTAGCATTTACCGATAGAAGATAAGCGATTGCGTCTGGTGTGGTTGGCCATGAAAAATACGGGGTGTATGTGTCAATAACTCCATTAGGGAATAATCTTGTTTTTGGGTCAATTATGAATATTATTCCGTCAACAACTGTTAATGAGTTTTGTCCATTATTGAAATATGCTGTTATCCACCATTGTCCTCCATTTTCGGAAAATATAACGGAAGGCTTTACTTTGCAAAATATATCCTTATCTGTTGGACAGTTTGCTTCGATTGGAGAATATTGATGATTAATTCTTCCTCCGACATTCGGATCACCATAATCACTTACCCACCAGAGGTGGGCGATGGATGAAGATCCTCGCGAGGCCCCGCGATTCCTCACGGGGCGGTCCTCGCGAGGGAGATTTTTTGAAAGCTGGACGGGGCACGGGGCGATGACGAGGCAGGAACTGTACGAGGCGAACCCCGCGGGGGACATTTTTTTCTTTTTAACGAAAGGCGAAATGGAGACGCTGAGCGGAATTCTTTCTAGTTCACTTGAAAAATATGTTTGTTTAGTGCATGACATCTACTACACAGCAGTTTCCTCAAGTTGAAGATAAAACTCTAACAGTTGTATATTGTAAAGGTTATTTCTAACTTTGTTAATCTTTTCTTCTATCTTCTTGTTACGTGCCCTGTATATATATAATAGGTGTGTTACACCAGAAAGTTGGTCTAGACTATCTCCGAACCCCGGAATTCTAAGGAGCTGTCCTTTGGTTTATAAGAGTCTGTATGAGAAGAGTCTGCATGAGAGAGTCTGCATGACAAGAGAAACAAGATCAATGTGACCTATAGCAGCTGAGTACATGAAGGCGGCTATCTTTCGTATAGCAGCCAATACCATCGCTAGTGCTAGAATATCTTATTTCGATTGTTTTTGACCGTTAGAAGGTCGAAAAAGTCCGTTACTAAAGTTTAACATTCAAAAATAATGAAGTTAAAGTGAAAGTAAAAAGAGTTTTCTAGAGATCCCCCGAAGAATCATGATCACCTGGTATTGGAATCTTGCCAAACCCTTACGTTTATTCAGTTTTTAATTCTCTATCTAACCATGTTTGA